TTGGTCTCGCTGTCTGCAATAGGACCTTGCAGGTAGCTGTTTAGTTCAGCCTCAAAAGCCTGCTGTTCTGTCAGATCAGATGTTGCAACAGGCTCAGTGTAGGACTTCTTAAAATAGCTGCCCAGTGTCTTCTTAGTGAGCATAGTGAGGCTCATATATGGCTCAGATGTGCGGCTGGACCACAGGTCAGTGGTAGTAGCAAAGTATCTCACGTTCTTTAGCTCATTTTCCAGCTTTCCACGGCACTCTTCGTAAAGCTGGGACAGTGCGGTTCTGGAGAAGTATTTTCTGCCCGGAAGTTCGTACCTGGAGTCAAGCACTTTAATTAATTTCTTAAAACCGTCGTACTCCACTGTGTTTAGGGGCATCATGTCTTTCGCCAGAAAGAATGAAACGGCTCTCGTTATATCCTTGCTCCTTTTGAAACTCACTTCATAAGGAGTAATGGCCACAAAGGACGACGCAATCGATTTCTGCTTTGGTACAGCCCCGCTGCTAGTGCTACTTGTTGATGGAGTAACGTTAGCATCAGCCCGCATGTTAATGCTTTCAGTGTGTTCACAGGGATGACACTTTTTTAGGTGATGGAATAGGTTGGTTGTGTTACCAGTTTTGGTTTTGACCGGACTACGACATATTTTACAGATCATTTGAATCTGCGCCTTGTCGCTCTTCAAAAAGCCAAACCACTTCCATATAACCAAATTTGTGCTACCTTGTTTGTCGACAATTTCATCATTTTTGACTACTTGCTCGATGTTTGTCTCACTTTTGCCACTGCTTTCACTCATTTTTGTGGTCCTCGTCTCCAGCTTGTTTTGCAAAGTGCCGTAGGAAATTAGCTAACTTTGTTCTCTGATGTGCACGTTTAAAGCTGCATGTTGATTGGCTGTTGTCGCATATTGCTGCTGTGTGATTGGCTCTTACAAATCCATATCAAGTAAAAATGCCGAGAGCTTATCATCGTTATTGATATCGATTTTATTGCGATTCGATATTATATCGTTTATCGGCACAGTACTACTCCTGAATCACTCAATATGCAGAGGAGGACAACATCAACAGTGTACATGTGTGTGTAAACCTGCCAACACACTCATAACGGGCTGAGTTTACATACCTGTGCACATCCAGTACTATCCCTATCAGTGATGATTTATAATGGAATGTCTCATAATATAGCTTGATTTTTGCATGGAACATATAACCTGGTTACTCAAATATGATCCTTACATAGTGTTGTAAGCAAATTACCCACAGGGTCAGAAAAGCAAAAAGACATGAAAAACATATCACACAATACCAGTGTCCTTCCACAGTCTGTCTGTAGTCTCCTCCTGCAGTGCCTTTTTTTTTTTTTTTTTTAACAATGAGGGATACAAGCAACTGTCTGTATGGCCTATATCTAAAAACTGCAGTGTCTTGAATTGATACTGCAGATGTACCTTTATTTCTCTGATCCCCTCCCTCATTTTTGCAGCTTTGGGACCCAACCTTTCAGTGAAAGTCTATAATCATTGGGCAACCCCGTGCTAATCTCCCTCTTTTCAAGTGTAGGTTAATCCAAGATAAACAGTTGTAAATGTATTCGGAGATAAAATACTCTTCTTTAAAGTTTTCATTGTAACACAAGGTTAACATAATATTTTTGTCCTAAATACTGTATTCAGTGTAGAGAAGGCTAGGTTTGTTTCTCCCTATAGTAGCTAGCTAGCAGATTAACCAGATAGAAAAACTATCCATCCAGCATATTGTGTAGTATGTTATATAGCTCTGAACAAGCCTACATACATTCTAAAACTAACTTAGAAAATACAATGTGCATACTTTAGTAATGCGTCCTTTAAATCTTCAATCCACCCAATTATCTTTAATAAAAAAAAAAAAAAACCTTGCTATGTGAACAGCCTCACACTGTCATAGGATCAACGTAGCAGTCTAAACACCAACATTGTCGACCTGCCCATCCCCACTGAGCTAAAGCACAGTGGAATGATACAATTTGACTGGTATTAGCCATATACATATTCTATTTATGGGTATTAGCCACCATTGACCACACAAACGTGGTTACTCACTTCGTGTAGTCCTCCCTCTTCTCAATGCGATATTTCCGCAACACTTTAACTTCGTGCAGGTTGTTGTCCACCTCCCAGTTGATAAAGTCCACCTTCTTCAACAGTTTCTGTTCATGGTACTTTAATTTACGAACCATTTTTACTCGCTTTTCTGGTTAAATCTAGTTTATTTACAACGCGTGGTTTATACACATACAGGAAACAGGTTGTACATTTTTTCTTCTTCGGGAAAAATGGCAACTTATGTCGGGCAACAGCGCCATCTATCGCACTTCAACAGTAAACATCTACCGCGATATAACTCCTTGCTAACAGTCAGGTTTGTACATAAAACATATTACAGAATAATTTTCCTCAAAGGTCTCAAAATATAATACGTTCCTTCCTGTGTGGACCAATAATGTCTTAATTTACTTTACACTGTTTTGTTAGTCGTTTAATTTACTTTAGGGTATTTAAAACAGGTAGGCTACTAAAGCAGTATGCTGTCAAACCAAGGAAGACGGGATATTACATTATTTAATTAACTATTAATCAAACTGTAATTAATTAAAGTTTAATAATATTTTAGCTTGAATTAATTAACGTTTAATTAGGCAACGTAAAGTTCTATCAGTTCATCATACAAAGTAATGGAATCTAAAATTATCAAACATTTTGAATTATGATTTAAGTATTAAAGTGCAATGCCGAGTTTTCAAAATAACGTTAGCAGAGTTTGAATCCAGTCCGAATATATATGTAACTTTATGACTGTAAAAAGTAGAAATTGTACAATGATATTAAATGAAATTTGATGGAAGGCTGGATTAATAAAATTGTTCGATAAAAGCTTTTGGTTAGGATTTTTTTTTAACATAAGGGTTTTTATTTTAGCATGGTGACATTTTCAAACATAGGGATTGGGCTGAAAAATGCACTTGAATCAATCATGATAATGAAAAACATTTTTAACATGTCATAATATTGTAACATTTTATTTGCTCCTACAGGTGTCACCAAACGTCATGAGTAGTTACACATCAATTAATTCATTCATTCAGAGGAGGAGACCGTCCCGAGTGAAGACTTACGGTAGGCTACACGCCAGCAAATTTTCAACTTGTAACTTTTCTTTGTCATAGTTTAGATACAAGTTACGGTTTTACTTTATGGGTGTTATCTGTAAAAAGCAGTGTGCGAAGATATATTATTCATGTCCTCAGCTCTTATAGGAAATGTATAATGGAGAGGCGAGGCTCGGAGTGGAGAGCTTGGATTATTAATGCGTTTATATTTATCAGAGGAGATTCTAAAAACACATATTTACCCTATCTAATGTTATAGATAAGTTTATTAGTCTGTACCTCGTGCTGCTCTCAGTCTGTCAAGATGCCTTCAGGGACAAGTTGATACAGTTTGAGAAAATGCTACTCTATTAGCCTAGCCATCAAAGGAGCTGAGGTGGCAGGTAGCTAGACACATTTACTCAAGTACTGTACTTTAGTACAATTTTGAGGTATCTGTACTTTAACTGAGTATTTTCATTTCATGTTACTTCATAGTTTGACTTCACTACTGTTTAGAGGCAAATATTGTACTTTTTACTCCAATACATTTATTTGATATCTTTAGTTACTTTTCAGAATCAGATTAATAAAATAACATTATAATCATAAGATTTTATTGATTGCTGGTGTAAAATTCACAAGGTAATAGGCAGTATGTAAGGTGCTTTAAAATGATCTGCATCTTTACCACTGCAACATTAAAGTGATGAACACAATAATGCATCAGTAATGATAATCCAGTAATATGCTCTAATGTGAAATATGCCGTTCTGCATAAGCGGTTTTGCTATTACTTTTGTACTTTTACTTAAATACCATTTTGAATGGAGGACTTTTACTTGTACTTCTTCCACAAGTGCAAAGGAGCAGTTAGATACGCGGGCATGTAGATAAACTGTTCTTTTAACCAAGTAAAAAAAAAAAAAATCCCACTAAGGTTAGCAACCTCTTTTGTTCTGTGAAATAAGTTAATCAGATATGAGTGAAGTTTATCTGCAATAGTTTTATAAATGAAACTATACTAATGACTCAGTTGGCAGATATAGAAATAGACGGCCAGCCAGTTCTATTGTACAGAACACACAATGGTGGGTTAATGGTTCCAAGGTCGTCATTGTGATATACGCTGATTTGTCTTTTGACTAATCCACATATAGGCTATGGGAAATGTTGTAATATTATATCACTATTTGTTCAAGTCAGCTCCAGTTAAAATAAATTAATAAAAGATTCCTTGTAGTAGCATCATAGTGAGCACCATTTTTACTACACAGATCCATGTGAACAGCCCAGATTAATCACTTTTTAGACTGGTTTTAATTCCTTTGAATCAAATGAAACCACACTATATTTATAGCACTATTCAAACCAGTTATTGCAATTCAAAGTGCTTTAAAGAAAAAGTATAACAAAGCAGAAAAAGATGGGTAAAATGAATAATAAAAATAAACTGAAAAAGCAATCACTAAAATTAAATTAAATAAAATGATTACATTTATGTTTAGCATGCTCTCAACATTTCAGCAAAGCTGAGTTTCAGTTTAAATCTGAAACCTCTTTGCAGCTCTGCCTGTTCATCTCACTGATGTTGAGTTACCTTGGCCTTTATGCTGACTTGTAAAAATACTTGACCCAAAAATCCCAGAGGTGCGGCAGGCTGTGGTTGGGGCCCCACCCTTGGCAAGGCCACAGACATTGCTTTCTTTCACCTGAAAACCCTGGTGCACTGCTACAGTGTTTTTACTTGCCTGGGTGACTGTGGATCCTGGTTTGTGAAGACGTTGCGATACAGATTTTAGAGACAAAACATGGTACTGCAAATGAGCCCCATGACCACATGATGTGTTTCCCTGATAGCAGTCAGCGGCTCACAACAACTGATTAGTCTGGAATCTGCCAGAACTTTTAATCGATTAAACGTCAACACTATTGAAAGCATGTAGTATTGATGTACTTGTGATAAAGAAGGTTATTGTCATGCCTATGTTTCAGTAAGTTACTCTACATGGTATTCTTAAAAAATGGGTCAAGGAAATGTAGGCTCAAAAAAAGTCTTATGAGACACGCACCTCTGCTGTCTTTCATTTAACAGTTCACTAAACCAGTCAGGCCTGTACAACATCTGAGCTACAGTGTCACACCAATCACCAATCTGTGACTGATTTCGTGGGTGAGCTGGGCTGGCCTTTTGTTGGTTCAGCTTCCTCTCTGAAAGATTGCTAGACAATTATGTGTGGAGTTTCACCTACAGGTGTCTGGCATAGATCCTGGTGTCCTATTACCATGGAGAAATGATTTTTCATGTCGGTGTCTCAGGTTAAGATAATTGAAATTCAATGTTTATGGCTAGATTTTTTATTTCAGTATAAAGAAAACACTGCATCAGAACCTGTTGTGTGAAGTGTCTCAGGCATCAGGATAAATGGTAACTATACTTGAGGGACAGGGATCAATATTTGCTTTCAGCTTGCATCACAGTGGATTTACGGTAGATTATAAACTGATAGGTTTTTGCGACAGGCAGTGTTATTTATGACAACATGTTGGGGCTTCATATGAAAGGTTTCGTGGCAATAGTTGAAGAAGTACTCAGATCCTTCACTTCAAAGCAACAATAGCTCAATGTAAAAATACTCTGTTACAAGTAAGTGTCTCATTAAAAAGTAAAAGTACAGAAGCATTACCCACAAAAATTACTTTAGGTTTCAAAAGTACTTATTATTCACACCTGCCATGTTAGTGTTAGTGTTACATTAATCTATGATTGATTTGATCATTATTACTGACACATTCGTAGCTGGTTAAGGTGAAGCTAATCTAACTACTTTATACTGGTAAGTATAGGTAGTTTAAGCTATGACAATGCATCATGTTTTATAAACCAATCACATATTTTGTAAGTACAATCTGAAAAGTAACTACTAGCTGTACCCATGACATACATGTAGTGAAGCATAGTGTTCAATCTTTCCCCCTGAAATGGAGAAAACCTATAAATTACTCTTAGTACAGAAGCAAATTATTTCATAAATAAGTGCAAAAGTGACAACAACACAGCTGGCAACTGAAAATGAAAGTCATAGTCTTAAAATGTGTAGTGAGAGAGGAGAGAGAAAGAGGTGGATTGTGCAGCATGGCCCTCTGCTAAGCAGAGCTGCTACATAAGGCGCTCTGTGTGTTAAACACACACCGTGCCTCTTATAATGTCAACACCTCTTTGGCCTTTGTTCTTTATACATCCTCTTAACCAATGTGTGATCACTATCTTCTGACAGGCTCTGTGGATTAACCAATGCAGACAGTTCGTCTGATCCATTCCCGCCCTGTAGGTTTGCCTTGTAAAAACCAGAAAATGTTCCTCATGTCTTTTGAGCACATGAAGAACAGCGAACTCTGTGATTCTGTAACAAGTGACATTTTGTGCGGCTTGTCTATTTGAATATTTCACAGTCTGGTGTCACGTGGATGAAGCGACAAACGACGAAGAGAAGTGCAAGTGGTAGCAGTGACTCTGAAGAGATAAGATGCATCAGTCTGGACACGTAAGACAAAACAGTGAAGAATGTCTGTCTTCAAGTCTTCAAGATGCTGAAGTTAGGAAACTGGTAATAATTATCTCACTTCTCTCAACCTATTTATGCACAACAGCTAAACGCTTGACACAACTGAGCTTTTATGTTGGTGTTTTGCTGATCAATTAGACACAAATGACAGCAGGGAAAATGACATCAAACTTGCTAACTACTGTAGGAAGTAGTTACTTTCTACACATGCAGAGTATCATTATACCGATACTTTTACTAAGTGAAAGTATCAGTATAATGATGTACAAATAACAATACCCCCTTACAAGAAAGATTCCTGCAGTCAAAATCCTTCATCCCTGTGAGGGATGTATTATTATTATTAATACTAATGCAACAGTGAGTAAGATTATTGTTGTAGGAAATAAAAAAAAACCTTGCTTTTTGTGGATAATTTTACAACTTTGGGCCTTAAACTGTTATTTTAATTAAACTTTTGAAATGCTAGGAGGTGAAGTTGTGGTTGGTGAACACATTGGCTTCTGAAACACGGAGCCAACTGACCAGACATTTTCTTTCTAAAATAGTATTGTGTTTTATAAACTCATCACTATTTTTTTTATGTAAAATCTGAATCTGAAAGACAACTAGCCGTTAATTAAATCCAGTGAAGTACATTATTGCACTTTGAAATATTGTGAAGATAGGTATGAAGTGATATAATAAAATGAAGAAGTCAACTAAGTACCTGAGAAATGTATTTAAGTACAGTTTTTTCTTTGTTCAGATACATAATAAGAGTAAATGTTGCTTTCTACCAGTGGTGTGTGCTGCAGACCTACCCGCTACATTTACTCATACTGTAGCAGTTTGTTTCTGTTGTTAAATAGAATGCCAAAGTAGGTAACAGCTGGTTTGAACTTCAAGTTGTAATGCACAAGACATCATTTTCCATCTGTCCCCATTTCTCCATTTTGCCATTTTGTGGTCCTTTTGCTCCGGGACTGCAGGCCGGGTCACAGGTGTGCGCCACACAGCTTCATCTGGACCTGTTAGCTTTCTGTTGAACAACAGAGCAGCATCCTGATAGTTCCACACTCACTCTCTCCTCTTCACACTTTCTAACGTCTGTGAAGTTGTCCCTCTTTTTAACAATTCAGTTTATATCTGACTTTTCATCCTGCCCTTCTGTGGTTTTCTTTTTCTTTCCATCCTTCCTGAAGGCTCCATCGTCGCCTGTGTATTCGAGTGCCAAGTCCCACACAATGATCTCATCCTCACAACACTCCTCGAAGCTGAGGTATGTGTCTCTGGGAGTGCTGGTTGTGCAGTCCACCTCGTTGGTGCTCATCATGCGCTACTCCCGCACCCAGAAGGAAGATGGCCCTCGCTACTTGGCATCCTCTGCCGTGGTGTCGGCTGAGGTGCTCAAGATCCTCGTCTGTACCTTTCTCGTGTTTATGGAGAACAGTGAGTAGAAAGTTGTGTCTAGCATTTTCTAGAAGTTGAGCTGTTTTTTTTCTCTTTGTAATCAGTTTCCAAATGCACAGTTGATTGCATATAAATGTACGTCCACCCTCTCTGTCTGTCTTTGTCTCTTGACGCCATGGGTGGTCCCCAGGTTACATTACTGACAATACATTCCACCCTCTGGCAGATTTCAGTGTGCAGGCAATGAGCCAACTGTTCCAGGAGATTGTGAACAAGCCCATGGACACCATGAAGCTGGCCATTCCTGCAGGGATCTACACACTGCAGAACAATCTGCTCTATGTTGCCTTATCCAACCTGGATGCAGCCACCTTTCAGGTTACACATTCATGTGCTTATTCAAATGTGTGTGTGTGTGCTTGTACTTACTACATAGTGAGGACCAAAACAAGTTTTAACCAACAAAGTGAGGACATTTTAGACAGTCTCAATTTCAATGGGCTTTTTAAGAGTTAAGACTTAAGGGTTTTAGGGTTCAGGTTAGAGCATGGATTGGGCTGCATATTTCCAAACCTGACCTGTTCCTCCAGAGTGTGGTGTCCGAACCCAACCTGGACCCGACAAGCTTATAGTATGTAATGGCTGAACCCAACCCATGCCTGATGTAGTCGAGTCTGCGTGGTACTTTAAACAAAGTAGACATTTGAGTGCTCCAGCCGTCTAGCCTAAAGTTTGACATGCATGTTCGAGCCCGACCCAGACCTGAAACAAAATACTACATTTCTGTCTAAACCCGGCCCAAACCCTCAGGCACCAGTTCAGGTATCCATACTTTAGTTCAGGTTAGAATTAAGTTTCAGTTAGGTGAACTACTTCTATCTCAATGACTCTCCCCGTTCTGTCTGATTCAAAACAGTTTGGGATAGAGAGCCAAAGGCAAAGCGCGGGCCAGCGCTTTTTGTTCAAGCTCCCTGAAACATTGTGCCATTGATAAGGAAATTTGATTGTTGAAGCATGGCTTTGAGTTAATGGTTTGTTGTCTGAAACCTGTGGCAATTAAGGTTAGTGAGATGATTTTGTCCAGGGTTAACATTTGTGTATATTCCGAGGTGGTTAGGGTTAGTCAAGAATCTGAGGTTAGTTGTTAGGGCTATGTGAATGAATGTTCGCACAATTAGAGAAAATATTTCTGCTGAGGATCATGTTTGATCATGTCATATTGACATTTGTGACTACCTTACTTTCTGTGTTTGTGCTGTGCTCCACACAGGTGACGTATCAGCTGAAGATTCTCACCACAGCGCTGTTTTCCATCTCCATGCTGGGCAAAAGGTTGGGCTTGAACCAGTGGCTCTCGCTGCTCTTCCTCATGGCTGGAGTTACACTAGTGCAGGTAACAAAAGTCCCTCAGCAATTTACGAATGTGCAGATTTAACTGCTGTATGATTTCTAGTATTGTTATGTGGTTTGTTTCTGGGGGATTCACTCATCAGATGTTTTAGTCAGAAATTAGTTGGTGGTTGTTTCAGCAGTGCTTTAACCTCCACAGTGGCCAAGCGAGCCTCAAGGTGGCTCAGAACAGAAGACCCGGTCTGCAGGCTCCCAGCTTGTAGGACTGATAACCGTGCTGATGGCCTGTGTGTCTAGTGGCTTTGCTGGAGTTTACTTTGAGATGATCCTCAAGGGAACTAAACAAAGCCTGTGGGTCCGTAACATCCAACTGGGTGAGTGACTGCGACCTTCTTTTGTAAGGTGAGACGATGTGTGCTGAGTAAATGATAGTGTGTGAGAGATTATATATTGTACAGAAGGCTTTTGTTATTCTGAGTTTCACAGGTGCTTCACCTATTTTCACTGCCCTAATCATCCCCCTCTCACACACACGTATGTGGCACAAGTGTGAACAGACCGAATTCTATATTTAATTATAGGCATTGTCTCAGAAAAATAATTTCTGAAATTGCATGCCTCTAAAGCACATTTAAATGAAAAGCTGAAGCTAGAGAAAATGATTTTTTTTTTTCAAGCTAACAACCCAAAGGTTGCTTTTAGCCATGGGGTATTAATGACTTATTAAGTGTTAATGAAAATGTAAAATTAATGTTTATAACAAACAGTGACTTTTCCTTTGTTTTGACCACTGAAGATCTGAGTAATGTGCAGTGTTACCTATAAATTCTGTAAAAAATGGTAATAATACTGTGCTCATATAAAAAGGAGCAACGCCCTACACCTCTCTGCATGTTGCTTATAGATCAATAGGCGATGCTTATAAAAAGTGAAAATCAGCCAGGTGAGTCGCAGCTCCTTGCAAATTGCTGTTGTGGCACAGATGAAAATATTATACCTTTGAATTTCAAATAATAGATGTTCCCCTTCCAAAAAGAAACAGTTTATAAAGCCACTGAAGATTTTAGCATTCATGAGACTGAATTACCATGCTATACAAACATATACTAATATGTGCATGTATTGAGTGTATTGAAAGGGAGATGTTCTGAGAGGTTAGACAGAAAGAAGAGAGAAACAAAACCTGACACAGAAGACGTGCTAAACTGGAAACCATGTAGCACACCTACGCTGCCCTTTGATAAATCACACCCTACATATAATAGATAATGAAGGAATGGATGGAGGGATTATCCCGTATTATAAGATAATCACGTCTTGTTTGGTATGTACTGAAGGTGACTCAGAAAAGAAGATCCTTTCTGCAGGATCTCAGTTTGTCATGCTTTGTTACAGTTAAACCTGTATGACAGGTTTATCCTATTGTGTTTAAGAGTTTTACTATGCCTATTATTTTCAGAGGGTACGGCGTTAAAAGCTTTCAGAGAGACTTCCTTTTACTCTTTCTCTTCCTCTGTTGAAACTTCCCTACTACATAAATGAACTTTATCATAAACAAATACTCAAACAAATCAGTCGACTAAAGTATGACTGATTTGAATGTATGTATGTCACAGTGTGTGAATTTTCCTATATGTCTGTGTGCGTGAGAGTGTGTGTAGCCTTGTCTTTCTGTACTTGTGACCACACTGTCGCCTCCCTTATGGGAACCATCAGCTGAATGTGTTGAATTTTATGAAAACAATGAGGTTTAAGGTTACCGTTTCCAGGAAATAATTGTAAGTCTATGTAATGAGCCTGTAAGTGGCAAAAAACAAGGATGTGTTTGTGTGTGTGTCAGCTACAGTGACATCTTGTGGCAGTCAGTTGTAGTAAAACACACCAGTCCGGTTTAAGATGACAACACTGCTTTAAACTCATCTTAAACTCTAAACTACAGCTAAGCTAATGGTGCCGTGCCATGTCTTTGTTCCTTTGTTTTTGCCCTTTTTTTCAGCTTTTCTGTATTTCTTTATAATGTTGTACATTTTTAACAACAGTAAAAGGTGCCACTTTATTTGCTCCAGCAAATCTCACTTGTGTGTTTTTTTTTCTGTCTTTCAGGTTTGTTCAGCTTTATCTTTGGCTTCATAGGAATGATGGCGTATGACGGCCAGAGCGTTTGGCAGTCAGGAATGTTTCAGGGATACAATATGATCTCCTGGACAGTCGTTATCTTACAGGTTTAGTCATTATGTTTCTCTTCATTCTAATTTTATCTGTCCCATTTCTTTATTTAAGTTGTTGTTAAGATGCATTTGGGTGCCAACTAATGTATTTGTTGTTATACAGTTCTGTGTTCATGCTTTGTGTGTTTGTCTGAGTGCAGAGTGCTTTCAACACTGCTGTGCTCTCTGTCTGCAGGCTCTGGGCGGACTGATCGTAGCAGTGGTCATTAAATATGCAGACAACATCCTCAAAGGATTTGCAGCATCTGTGTCCATCATCGCGTCTGCTTTTACTTCGTATCTCTTCTTGGGGGACTTTAATCCCACTGGGTAAACACATACATGTCCCACACTCCCACAAGGCTTAGGCTTAATTTCCAAATGATTACTAAGGAAAAACATTTTATTCTGTGTTTTAGTCACACTGGTAGCATAGCTGTCTGCCTGTCTGTCAGGCTGTTAGTCAGTCTACCACTTTGGTTCAGACTGAAATATTTCGGCAACTAGTGAACTGCTTGTCATTAAATGTTGGACCCAGAGGATGCATCACACTGACTTTGATGACCCCTGGCTTTTCCTATAGCACCATCATGATGCTGACATTTGTGGTTTTGATTGAAGTATGTCAACAACTATGTATTGCCATGAAACTGTGTTCAGGCACTGATGTTTCCTTTATGATATGTTGTAATTACTTTGGTAATCCTCTAACATTTTCTCTAATACATGTCTAACACTGGTTTATGACCAAAGACCTTCAGAACTAATGGGATTACCATCAGCCTCAGTTGTACTTTGTTTTTACTGCTAAATAGTAAATGTTAGCATGCTAAACTAAGATGCTAATCACAGTAAACATTATACCTTTAAAACATCATAAAATTTATTTGTTGTGACTATGTTAGTATTTAGTACAACCTCACAGAGCCACTAGCACAGCTGTAGACTCTTGTCTGTCTTGTTGTCTCTGTGTTGTTTACATGTCATGAACTGAGTACACAGATGTTTATTGAAGTTACCTTTAATGCCTTTTTGTCTTCTCTCCTTTTGTTCTCTGTCCTATCTTTTTCTCAGTGTGTTTTTCCTAGGGGCAACGCTGGTTATTGCTGCTACATTTCTTTACAGTTATGACTGCAAACCTGCCAGTAACAGCGCAGTCCAAATATAAACCTCTATGCTACCTGACATAGATGGAGCAGGACTCCATGAACCATGACATTAAGTTTGGCATGTAAAAATTACAAATGTGAGAAATGTGGAAGTCATCAAACTTGTTACTGACAATCAACTACAGCTGGAGACGGCTGGGAATGAGGTGCCACCATCACTCCTATGGAAAAATGCTGCATTGCACAAGATAGGGGTTAGTAATATGAAGTATATTTCTTTTGTTGTATTTTATATGTGTTGTGGGATTTGGGAAAAGATTAAAACACAAAAGGCGTTGTTGCCGTGAGCATCTGCCTCAGAGAGAGTAAATCCTTGACAGACCTTCCATCTACTGGTGGAATGAAGAGCAAATCTGCTGCAAAGAGGAGGGGTTACCTCTGATCAAAGATGCTGAATATTTTTTATATGAGATGAAATAGGATGGGATGTGAATTCTTTGACCTTGCTTCTCACAGTTGGAGTATTTATTTCAAATGCATTCATCTTGCTGTCATTTAAATGCAAAGTAAAGGTTTTCATGTGAGAACAAATGAATAATTAAAAGCATATTTTATGCTAAAAACAAGCAGACCTGCCTTGATCTTTTTTCTTTCTCAAGTGTGAAAGGAATGGATTGATTGTGTGTATGTGTGAGCCCTCATGCACACATAATAAGGCATACAAACAGCACTAGGCACACCCATGAATATGTTGAACTGTTTTTTTTTTAAGTTAGTTGCAGTGCACTCAGGAAAACCAAACCAGTTTCTATAGCAACAGATGGCTGAATGAGCTGTGGTGCAGTGGCAAACATAGACACACTGAATTAAAATAACCTATTTTAACCTAGTAGTAACAGACATTTTATTCAGCAGTGACCCTGGCAAATAGAAACAGAACTGAGGCAGATGAACAAAACAAAAAAATGCCAGTTTTTCTCGCTGTGTTATTTGTTTACACAGTCACAATCTTTGCATAGTTGTGGATTTCAGAATAAATGAGTATATTTGGTACAGTGATACTGTGATAAACTATCGACATGTCCAGGGTGTACCCCACCTCTCTCCCAGTGTCAGCTGGGATTGGCTCCAGTCCCCACCGAGAGACCTCTTCAGGATAAGCAGTATAGATAATGGATGGATGATATGGTCATAGTGTGCGTGATGAAGTGAACACGTGAGAGAAAGGGCAGGACGATGGGAAGGTATGAACCTGGAGAGAAGCACAGATGGAGGATGAGTCATGTGACCTGTGTGTGGAGTGGCAGGTGGAGACTTGGACTGAGCCCACATGAGCCACTGGACAAATCATAGCCATGACACTGAAAGGCTTTCATTATCTGCAGAAACCTACTGCAAAATACGTCAGTGACATGAGGAGATGTTGTGATATGATCTCACAGACCCAGTGTTAAAAATAGCACTTATCAAAATTAAGTTTTGCCTGCTTTAAATTCACATCAAGGAAACTTTTAAGAGTACATTTAGAATCCCTGATTGTAGAATGACTTATGTAACCAGACCTGATTAGTGCCACATAAAATCTATCCTTGGTCTGAGTCCAGTTTGGAGCTATTCCAGCTATCACCTTCCAGTTTTAAATACTTGTATGTCACTCTTCCACATCACCTATTGAAGAATTAAAAGCACAGCTGTCATTTATTCAATGGGAACAGGTCCAGCTCATCTCTCTCATGATTTACCACCCATTTGAATACAATATCAGCTGCATTTGGAAGCTAGTAAGTTGAAAATATGTTGGTGAATTTGGTGTATTAGCAGAACTCCAGTGAACAGCAGAGTTGTTTGTCTTCCAGACATTTATGCCAAGTGGGTGTTCTTAATACAGTCTGATTGATGTATAAGATTAATCTTAACCTAAAAAGATTTATATAATACTTTTGTCTTAAACTTTATGAATACATCCTTTATCTCTGGTACTTAGTGTGCTGAAGGCTTTTTATTAGCACTGATGAGGTTTAACCAGCTGCCTTGTTTTTGGCCGACTTTTCAATCAAAATGTCTTCAGGTATCAAGTTATATAAAACAAATGCTATTCTTAAACTTCTCAGGGACAGTTTTTTTTTCTCTCTCACTCTCTCATGCAGTAAAATCTACATAAGGATGCAGGATGCAGTTCTTCTTGTGCTATAATACCTTTGTGGTACATCTAAAAACAGTGTTGCTTTTTTCGCTAAAAGACAGGCAGAACTCTTTAATGTAGTCCAAAGCTTGTTGGGGACCAAACAAGCCTTGATGTAACTCCAGGCCCTTGACACTAGTTTATTGTAGACTTCTTTTTCTGACACTGTGTCAGAAAAGATGTAATATCCTCTCTGGCTTGTTATAATGGTCCAGATCTTTCAGGGATAATGAGCCACTGGCATCTTGAGCGTAATAACACCACCGCCAGTTCTTTCTTCTTTGATAGACTTTATAACTTTATCACCTTCATGCCCCATTTTTTTCTTGAAGAAAGAATTATTCTTTTGTCTGTGCAACTGTTTGAGCCTCTTATTTTGGCGGTATGACCACCAGTGGCGCCCCTCTTCGTGGCCTCCACATTAGCACTTGGGCATCATTAGCATTTGGCCTCCCTAGTGCGTTAGGAGGAATGGGCTCCTGGTAGTTGAGGATGTGTGGTTGCTCCTGGTAGGGGCGACCCACCAATGAGGCCCGAGAGCCCAGAGGCATGTCTGGGTCCACAGCAATGTCCACCCGCATTCGCCACCGCACCGTCTGCAACACAATACGCTCCTGGAAGAGGACAGCAGCATAAAGTTAATATGGGTGATAGAGAAATGTTTGATTTGATGCATAATTTCAGTCCCAGTTTTCTGACCGCTAAACATGGGCGGATCCAGGGGATTGCCAGGGGTGGAAACAGCCACTCCCAGAATCTGATTGGTCACCCCCTTTGCCAGAGTTAAAAATGTGATGCTTGTCAGTATCAATGAATAATAAACAATCACAAATCATTGCCGTTTTTCAGGACATTTTTCTGATGCTTTATAATTGATAATGGTCAAATTATCTTTATTTTCTATCATGATATTTGAATTGATTTATGTACAATTAGGTTCTTAATAAGGTCCAGTTTATTATTTCATAGCACTAGTGGTTTAATTTAATGTTTACATGTATTTCAAATGTGCCACCCCTCTCTGAGCTCATGCCCCAGCCTGGCCAAGCCATCCAAACATTTCACGATCTGCCCCTGCCCCTGAACTCTCATTTCTACACTGAACAGCCAACAAAAAACTTGTTCTTAACTTATTAACCAAAAATGTAAATAATAAGCATTACAACCTTCTCTGTAACAGCCTTGAAAGACTCCAACACTTCCACAAAGACACCACATACAGTACATGCTGAATGCATTTTGAGATACAGTACATTTTATGGCAGACTGACTTCCATTGCATTGCAGAGGTTACATTCAGGAGAGCTGATGGCAATGATGTAGTGCTCTGTAACTTTACACCAGAAAGGAAAAGTGCTGGAGGAGATGATTACATTACAGTCAGTCTGTGTGTAATGCAAGAACAATTTCAAAAGGTGTGTAGCTGGTTCCATTCATTTAAACTGAGCAAGACGCATCTGTGACCTGGGGATGCATGTAAGATAAGATAAGATACATCGGGATGATCGGGATGTATGTGTGAACAAGCAGAGTGTAAGACTCCTCTCTGTGCTTCTGTCCAACCTTGGTGATGGAATTCATGGCCACCAGCCAGGTGATGAAGCTCTGGTCCCTGGTGATGTGGGTCAACATGGGCGTGTTGCTGTTGCTGATTGGCACAGCCCAGGTCACACTGGGGTAGAAGTTGTCGTTCATGCTGACCGTCAGGCGGGATGGCTTGGACGTAGGGCCGGTCAAGGTGACGGTCTCTGTGGTGTTGCCATACCAGGGGTAGCTGACACCATCAGAGTCACTGATGGCTTTGACCCGGCCCTCTCGCAGCTCTGGTAACTCCCAGCTGGACCTGAGGTAGTACAGAGAGAGAGAGAGGATGAGAGGCTTGTATTTGGCAGTGGCAAGTGCAGGTCTAGATGATGTGCCTGTGTGTGTGAGTGAGAGAAGAAGATTCTGTGCACATCCAAACACCTAGACACAAAAAGATATTACTTACATGCCAATATCGCCATAGGTGTTGTAGAACTCCATCTGGGTACAAGCTTGGATCCAGCCCACCACCCAGGTTTCATTACGGGGCACTGGTGGCATCACAACTCCTGCTGAGGCCCTAAAGTAAGGCGTCTTGTAACGGAGTACAATCGGTGAGTTCTCCTCAATGATGGTGGGACACTGGTCAATGGAGGCCGACACCTCATACACCACAATGTTCTCCCGTCTGATGCGGGGCTTGCATGCGATGCTCTGAATACAACCCATAGTGCAGGCGACAAGCAAAACGAGCAAAGCCAAAAAAGAAGGGGGCAAATTATACCTGGCCAATATGCACATCGGTCTCCTCCGGGTTCCACCCTTCCCTGAAGAGCAGATCTAATATTTTAATTGCCCATCATCACTGATTGGTTGGGAATGAAAAAGGAGAACAAACAGTTATAAAAACATCATATTTTCAGGATGTTATGCAGGTGAGAGCGCAGTGGGGACTTGGGAGGAAGTATCGCAGATCTCCGCAGCCTCCTCCCCCCGGTCTGTCTGCTGACTACCGCACTGCCCTTGGCGCTCGTCCCCAGAAACTGCAATCCGGCCTCTCCTGGGCTGCTGCTGCTTCTCCGTCGTGCGTCAGGTCTATTCCTTGTCGAGTCCACACGTTCGGCTGCACGTCTGTGCCCCTTGATCCAGCTGCTCTGCTCCCGTCGCTGCGCTGTCATGTCAAGTGGCGACAGGGCAGCCAGGTGCGTCAGACGTGTGGGGCTGGAATGCCTTTTGTTTGCTTGGCTTTTCTGTATTAGCCCTACATTCGTGCGGCGCCCTCAAAGGGTAAAACCGGGCTCTTCATCACTTTGTCCTACATGAAAAGAAGCTTTAACAAATGAGTGAGAATGTCTTTAAAGAGCTGACAGCGAAGCTGTAATGGGTTATTTTAGTGTTCTTCGGAGTGCGTTTCCATTCTTGGGAACGCATGAATGATGCATCATGAATGGAGGCAGCCAAGCAGCATAAGTGTGGAGAAAACAGCGACTATACCAGCCATCTCTCGGTTAGCTGTTTCATCGTTATGTCTCCTCGAACTGGAATCCATCACGGACCGGAGAGCATCCTCTTTCATCCGTGGGTCGCCTCGCTCGGTTTCGAGGTGCTGATGCTGGAGAGGCAGGGGAGGGGCGTCACCCGACCTCTGCATTGAAAAAAATAACAAACGCGAGCGGGCGTGGCTAATGCCTTCGTCACGCCTCTGAGAAACCCCATTGGCCAATCAAGTCAACAGCGGAAGTGGTGTCGTGTCATCGACTTCCTATTCACTGATAGTGACACGCATTCACCGGTCATCTAGACTTATTATTGTTGAACCCACCTCGCCGGTTCAGGATAATAGTTTGTGGTGCTGGTTTATGATCGGCCGTTTGTTCAGTAACGTGTCTCACAAGGTGCAGAGTTTGTTGTACCGGGCGTCGTTGATGATGAAGCCGCAGGTTGTGTTCGTACTGGGCGGGCCTGGCGCCGGCAAAGGGACCCAGTGTACCAAAATTGTGGAGGTACGAGAGATGGCTAGAGAAATGACAATGAAAACTAACGACCTTAATAGATAGGATTTAGCCTTTCGTGATTAAAACGGCTTAGGATCGTTGTACTATTTAATAGCTAATTTTAACGAGGTAATATATAAATCCCAGTGACTTCCGGTTGTCCTCTAAAACGAACCTCTGTATTAGCCGGTTAGCTAGTTAGCCACATAGGATACACAGTGTGCTGATACACAACCCTGTGCTGGCATACTGGAACCTTAAAGTACCATTGTCATATTACTGGTTCTTCAGAAACTAACTTTACTTAATTTATGATAGCTGAGTCAAATCAGAATCAAATTAAATAAGAAAGTATTTCTTCTTACTGTTTAATGTTGTGCAGTCAAACGCCTGGAATAATAAGCTAGACTAATGTCTGATTATTAGCTTCACATAGTATAAACAGAGCCAACAAGAGATATGCTCTTGACATTTACTCCGTATTATAACGTCATCTATGAGCTATGTCTTATCTATGGAGTTCCTGTTATGTTAAGGTCAAGGCGAGCTGGAGAGTACTTTGTTGACTTTGAACAAATAGAAGCAGAAGTTGACCAGGACATTTATTGGATGAGGAATGTTTGCCTTGATCATCCCATACAGTTGTGTGTGACAATGAATTATAATTCACCTGAACTTGGACCTTAAATTTCTGTGAGTTACTTTTCTGCCTTATTAGTAACAAAACAGTGAAGATCAGTTTATAACCTGGAGAGGTATATTGAGCATGACTGATGCCAAATAGAGAAAAAGTGCAGTCATAAAGGTATGTACTGTGTCGAGCTTTCTCTAATGCATAATTCATCTGTTCACTGAGTTACACACCATCCCAAAGGAACTGAAAAAAGGTTTTCACAAGAAGTCGTTTTTAGTAAGCCACCCAAAATGTTTGAGGAGCCAGAACTCTACAGCATGCTGCTTTGATGTTTGTCTGAAAGTCAAAGTCATGAACACTCATGAAGCTGCATTTCTGCAAGTGTAGAATCTTTAATGTGTGTTTGTGCATCTGTTTGACTGAGATGAATTACTTCCGTTCACAGATGTCAGTGGGTGTCGGCTGCATTACTCCAAGTGCAGTGGTTAGGCTTGATTGGCAGCTTTGCATAAGGGCTCTTTTAATTCCAAACAGAAGGACTAACCTTTTCCTGTTCTGTGAATGAGAAGGATTTGGCCTGTTTGTAAAAGCTGTCCTCCCTACCACAGAGTGTGCTAAAAGACATACAAAAACAGTTTTTAAATGATCAGCTACCAATTTCTCTTCAAATTGACTCTATATAGCACACTGCTATTTTGAAGGGCTTTTCTTTACCAGTTTTTTCATTGCATAAGCTCAGCCTTTCATTTTCAAGAAATGTTTGTGTTCTTGTGTCTCCCAGAACTACAGCTACACCCATTTGTCAGCTGGGGACTTGCTGAGAGCAGAGCGTGCTAGAGAGGGGTCACAGTTTGGGCAGCTCATTGCCAGCTACATCAAGGATGGCAAAATTGTCCCAGTGGAGATCACCATTGATTTACTCAGGAAGGTAGGTGCTGCATAGAGGCTCTAAACCAGGCCGTGCTTGCCTGACAGGAGGCAAATCTAGACCAGACTGCCAGGGGTCAGACAGTTTCCCCAGGACCTGTGTGAAGTTTCGCTTTTCATAACCTCTACAGGACCTGAAAAATGGATTTTTGCTAATTATATATTTTAATTTAATGGAACTGATTTAATAAATGTTGGTTGAAAGTTCAGTCTTTAGGTCCCCATAGCATTTTGCTTCTATTCTATTCTATTTTATTCTAAAAGGGTTAACTATTCATGGATATTAATTTGTAGGCAGAACCTTTGCTGTGACATTTAGAATTAAATGCTTTGGTTGTGTTGTCGACTTAATAATGTGACAACATTACTTACTTGAAACTTGTGATTGTCACTAATTGTGTAATTTTAATTTAAATATTTTTGCTGTCTCAGTAGATGTGATCAAAATCTAAAACCATGTACCTTGAAGCTTTATAGTTTCATATGTTTTTATAATAGTGTAGAATTTGTTTATGCTTGTGAGAGTTTGGTTTTGTGCAGCCGTGTAAGGAAACATTTTCAGTTTTTTTAAAAAACGGTTTATGTCCCAGTAAAATAAGCAAATACAATAAATGAAAAGTATTAAAATAAACTGGGGTCCCTGGGTGTGTGAAATCAGTTTCTAATTGGTAATTTGTATAAACAGCTTTTGCAGTGAAATCACATCAGTAGAACAAAAATCCAAGTTTATTCTTGCTCCTGTTCCTTAAGGCAATGGAAGAGATGATGAAGAAAGATGAGAAAATGTTCCGTTTCCTCATAGACGGTTTCCCACGCAATGAGGACAACCTTCAGGGGTGGAACCGTGTCATGGATGGCAAAGCAGATGTCAAATTTGTGCTTTTCTTTGACTGCGCCATTGAGGTAGGTTGAGGAAGTTGGAAAGCTAAAACCCTTTTAGCTGTTTTTAGTCACATGCAGGGCGCTGTGCTGATATCGCAGTACCCACACACGGGCATGATCTCTTGTCCACAGGTTTGCATCGACAGATGTTTAGAAAGAGGGAAGAGCAGTGGACGCACAGATGACAACAGAGAAAGCTTGGAAAAAAGGTACAGTCCTTTGCCACAGACAAAACACCCGACTTTAGACTTTAACACTACTGAACACCACATTTTAAAATGTGCTTTTTCACAATGAAGTCCCTGCAAAAAGGTTTTTCTGACAGTTGAGGCCTATTTGATCAGTACAGATTATTCCGACCCATTTAGCTGAATGTTGGATACTTGTCTTTGTGTTTTTGACCTAGTTAGTGTCTCTCCTTTGGTTCTCCTGAGTCACCTGACCCCAATAATCAGACATTTTTCTTGGATGCAGAATCCAAACCTACCTGCAGTCTACACGACCAATCATTGAACAGTATGAGAAACTCGGGAAGGTGCGCACCGTAGATGCCTCTCGTTCTGTTGACGAGGTGAGTAAATGATACTGGCAGTAGGAAATGTGGACGTGGCATCTATGATCCCCACCAACAGATTGAACAATGTTTGATAAATGTGTTAGAGAATAAACCAGAAAAGGAAACGGACAGTTAATCACACAAAATTTATGCCTGTGTGTGTTTCATGGAGTGAAACCGTTCAGCCAGACAGAAGGGAAAACTTCCCCAGTTGGATGTTGAAGCCAAAGTGGAAATGCTTGAAGTTACAGTTCAGCTGATGGGCACTAGACACTCTTTAAAAACATAACCCCAAGAGGAAAATGGTCTGTTAATACAAAGTAGTTTTAAGTGGGGAAAAAGGCATCAGAGCTCCGATCAAGCTCCACCTTAATTTGGAAATGATAGTTGTCAAATTTTACAGTTGCATAATATTATAAAATTTAAATTACAATAACATTTTTGTCAGTATTTTTTAAATAGTTCTTGTCATTATTTTACAAAGCATTATAGTTTTTTAAAATTAATAGACACTACACAAAAATTACACTAAGCAATGAATTGCTCATAAATAAAGACTTTAAAATGAATTTGACTTTTACAGTGTGATTATTTAACCTGTTTTTCTCTTGCAGGTGTTTGCTGGTGTGAAAGCCATTCTAGACAGAGAGGGTTGAACTTTTCCCAGCTGCAAACTACATTCATTTATCTTTTTAGTTCCTCTTTTTATTAACTGCAAGTACACTATAATAGGTTTATGTATCAATATGACTTTTTACTTTGGTTACTTGTTTTTGTTCGTCTTTTTTATAAATGCTGCACTCTTTGTTGTGTGTGGGGGTGTGTGTGCGATATGCATCTGTGTGAATGAGAAGTAGGACATGCTGAGCAGCTACTTGTGATCAACTAGTTCATGCTCAGAAGAGCTCCCAACTCATCAGCACTCATATTTTGAGGCCTTCTGATAAGAATGAAATGTATTGTTAGCTAGAGAGATGCTTTTTTTTTTTGTCAAACACACATAGAGTACTGGAAGTCTGAATATTACTAATGTATCCAGAGTCTCATGGAAGCAGCCATAATGCTTCAGACCAAATTGTTGTGTGATGATCAACCAGGACTGATAAGGCTTTACAGAATAGTCAGCAGCCTGTCTGCCATCCAAATACAAACTATACAACTGTCTTATAGTTAATGGGCAGAATAACAGGGACATGGCTGGTTGCTTTTGCGCCATGGTAGTGATCAGGTACTCTTGTTTCTGCAATAGATGGCTTGTTCTTTGATGAATGTTTGACTGTACATGTCTGTGTGCTTCAACACTGCTGTGACATGTGGGACAGGTCATACTGGAGCAAAAACATGGAGATAAAAACAAGTATCACCTCTGCTGGTTCTGCTTGAAGGAGGGGGGATAAAACTTAAATGTAAAAAAATGTTTCCTTTTTTTCTTTTGTTTTTCTCAATTAATCTTGATCTCTGTTCATTACTGTGTGAGGGCTGCCCATTCAAACAGTATGTTTTATTTTGCTTCTGTATTTTACTGTACAAGCACAGTACTCTGGTCTATTGCATAAGAAGCTCAAATTATTAACTTCTCTGTAATTTACAATAACACAAAACTTGTGAGCTTGGTAGCTTTTAACGTGAACAGCAGCAGGGGCCACTTGATAACACTGTTGTCAAAGTTTATTATTTTTTTCATTGACTGAATAGGATTTCATGGCAGATAAAATATGGCTTACTCATGACTCATAAGTACTGTAAATTAACTCTGAAATGTTTTGATGTTTAAATGCTGAACTGAAGACGGAAATAATTTAATATACAAATAAATATTGGGAGAAGTATATCTAATTCATTTTTATAAATTTACACTTTATTTTTCTACACTATTTTTTTTATATTTACAGTCTTATGCAAAAGTTTAGGCACCCCTTGATAAATAACAGATTTTGGTGATTTTTTATTTGAACAGATGTTAACACAGTTTCTCTTGGAAATGGAAAAAATGCACAATATTTTCTGCAAACAGTGATGCATAGTTACTTCTTATGCCATAAATTGAACAAAAATAAAAAATAAAAACATTATTATGGCATGGTGCAAAAGTTTGGGCACCCTACACAATCAGTACTTAGTAACACCTCCTCTGGCAGATATCACAGCTTGCAAACGCTTTTCATAGCCAGCTAAAAGTCTTTCAATTCTTGTACTTGGGATCTTCTCCCATTCTTCCTTGCAAAAGGCTTCTAGTTCTGTAATATTCTTTGGTCGTCTTGCATGCACAGCTCTTTTAAGATCTACCCACAAATTTTCAATGATGTTTAAATCAGGGGACTGTGATGGCCATTCCAAAACCTTCAGCCTGCGTCTCTTGAGGTATTCCATAGTGGATTTCGAGGTATGTTTAGGATCATTGTCCTGTTGTAGAAGCCATCCTCTTTTCAGCTTCAGCTTTTTTACAGATGGTGTGATGTTTGCTTCCAGAATTTGCTGGTATTTAGTGGAATCCATTCTTCCCTCCACCCGTGCAATGTTTCCTGTGCCACTGGCTGCAACACAACCCCAGAGCATGATAGATCCACCCCCATGCTTAATAGTTGGCAAGGTGTTCTTTTCATGAAATGCTGCTCCTTTTTTTCTCCAAACATGCCTTTGCTGATTGTGTCCAAAGAGTTCTATTTTAACTTCATCAGTCCACAGCACTTGTTTCCAAAACGCATCGGGCTTCTGTAGATGTCCTGTTGCATACTTCAGACGTTGGATTTTATGATGGGGACGCAGATAAGGTTTTCTTCTGCTGACTCTTCCATGAAGGCCTTGTCTGTGCAAGCATCGCTGCACAGTGGAACGGTGCACCACCACTCCTGAGTCTGCTAAATCTTCCTGCAGGTTTTTTGCAGTCAAATGGGGGTTTTGATTTGTCTTTCTGACCAGCATACGAGCAGTTCTGTCCGAGAGTTTTCTTGGTCTTCCAGATCTCATCTTGACCTCCACAGTTCCCCTGATCTGCCATCTCTTAATTACATTTCTTACTGTGGAAACTGCAAGCTGACAACGCTTTGCTATCTTCTTGTAGCCTTCTCCTGCATTGTGGGCGTCAATAACTTTCATTTTCAGGGTCTTACACAGCTGCTTAGAGGAACCCATGGTTGCTGGGTGTCCACAAGTGTGTGCACAAGGTTTGAAGAGTCAAAGTATTTGTACAGCTTTGAAATTGGCATTTACCAATGACAGCTGTTGCTGTGCATCAGATCTAACGAGCTGATTAAGGTCTGATACCTTGTGAGAGACTTTGAGACTCTGGAACTCTTAGGGTGCCCAAACTTTTGCACCATGCCATAATAATGTTTTTATTTTTTATTTTTGTTCAATTTATGGCATAAGAAGTAACTATGCATCACTGTTTGCTGAAAATATTGTGCATTTTTTCCATTTCCAAGAGAAACTGTGTTAACATCTGTTCAAATAAAAAATCACCAAAATCTGTTATTTATCAAGGGGTGCCTAAACTTTTGCATAAGACTGTACTTTTAAGTAAAATATATTTCAGCATTTATATATTTATAAGACTTCATTCAAGTATATATTCAGGTAGTCAGGTTTGTTTTATCTCTTTATAAGGACAAGTGGTGGTGAACAGCGACAGTCAGTGAGAAGCTTTACATGTATACTATTATCTACAACACTGTACTACATTTTAAAGTAATGAACACAATTGTTGCAATGAGTGCTAGATAATATTTTTTTATTTTTACATATAATTTACAAGCTACAAAGACAATTGAATCACATATTACTGTAATTCCTGAGCATGTTTTTAGCTTGAAGCCTGGTGTATCTGCACTTTAAGAGCTACACATGACTGTTTTTCCTAAACAGCAGTACCTGACATGCATACAACAGGGTAAAGTACCACAAAAGCACTTCATAACTACCAGAGCTTTTATACTGTCAAACTTAAAATGCGTTGAAGTTAATCCAAGAAAGTTGCCAATAGAAAAGTGAATGTAAGGCACTGTGAATACTCGGGGCCATATGAGTGCACTGTAATACATAAGGTTAGATAAAATGCTGCTGAACTTAAATGATCCCCTGGGATCACTGGATCATTGCAGCACCAAATGTAACAGAATACAGCCAAAACGACACCAAAAAAAAAAAAACTATAAATAAGAATATAGCAAGTGCTGGACTTGGGGTATAACAAATCATTTCAACATGTCAACATTTTTAGTAGAAATATGTGGCAAGTATGAAAATATATGAACTACAGCATAATGCAGATGTGCAAAAATACCAACAGGAGCCTAGAAATAATTGAACAAAGAAAATATGTCTAAATGAATGACAATCTGTACATATTACAATATACACCATAAACTATAAAATAGCAAAATAACAAGCTTTGTGTTATTGTTGGTCAGTGAAGCTCACTGCACATAAAAAATATATAGTAGATATATTCATACTCTGCCAGCAGATGGCAATCTGAAAATATATATTATCTTATTTACAAAAATATCCTAATGAAAAATAACTGCATAAACAATTTTAGTAGGTGAATTCATAGTCAGTACTAAAACCAAAATGACCAGGAATCCACAGTCTGATTGAGAATGAGAACTGTCCTTCCATGCTGACATTCTGTTAAGTAATTTGCGAAGCAGAGAAATACCTGCTCAAATTCACATTCAACATGTACATTCTTTTGTTAGACATTCACAATGAAAGCATAAACCTCTACGATCTTTGAAATACCAAAGAGCTTACATAATGCGCATCATTTACAAATGCATAAAGGGCAAATAACATATAAGAATCTTTTGACAGGGTGGTGGTCAATGCAAAAGGAAAACAAAATGAGACATGACAGGGCTGCAGCTGGCTCAGTTGGAGTTCACCTGGCCTGTGGCGACGTTGCTGGAAGTCCTGTGATACTGAGCCTTGGTGTTAGTGACTGCGCCATGCTTCTGTCGCAGATGAAGCCTCAGCTGACTCTTGTGTCTGAAGTGGAGGTCACATTGCTCACACTGAAGGCAAGAAAACAGACTGAGTCACTTAAAAAAAGAAAAGTTTTATCCCCCCAAACTCACAGCTGTAGTAAAGGACTCAGGCATAGAACTACTGACAGGCACATGGACTGTGGAAGAAAAGGGGTTACTCTCTGGATAAGGAGAGGAAGCTGACAACAGTGCTTACATGATAAGGTTTCTCTCCCGTGTGAATCCGCATGTGGCTCTTGAGTGTCTGAAGGTGACGGAAGTGTGTTCCACAGATCTCACATGGGTATGGTTTTTCTCCTGTGTGAATTAATACATGGGCACGAAGATGGGCCACCTGGAGAAAAGTCATATATTAAATGCATACACACTGATACGGTGCTTTCTCGGAAATAATTATGCGCCTGTTCTTTTTTTCTCACCTGGACAAATCGGGAGCCGCATGTCTCACACTTGTATGGCTTTTCTCCCGAGTGGATGCGGGTATGAGTTTTGAGGTTGGCCGGTCGGTTAAACTGAGCGCCACAGATGTTGCAGTGGTACGGCTTTGCACCTGAGGTTTAGATCAGCAAGTTGTGTGCTGAATTAAACAGTTAATCCATGAAGCCAGTTTCATAATACTTTAAAAGGTGTTACTGATCTTACCTGTGTGAACAGTTTTATGGCTGGCCAGGTTGCCCTTGTAGCGGAAAGCAGCCTGGCAGCAGTCACACTTGTATGGCTTGTCACTGTGGACTTGGACCATGTGGTCTTTCAGAGAATCTTCCTCTCTGAACTTGGAGTCACAACCATTGCAGAAGTAGTAGTTGTCTTCTGTAGAAAGAAGCAAACAAAATGAGTGTAGAGACAAAACACCTCTGTGGTTTGTTGAAAATCATCCTGCCAAACAGTAGGCTGGATAGTATGGCATTTGTGGAGGACACTCACCACAGCTGGAGGAGGAATACTCCGAGTATAGTTTGGTAGTGCCTTCTCTGCTGCATGAGTCAGGAGAAAGGTGACCCATCTCCATGCACTGAGGGCTGTCACAGCCACAGGTGGAACATCCATGATGGCTGCACACAGGAAGAAGAGCACAGAGTTCATCTGAAGTGTACAGATTTATAGTGAGTGGCTTATAGTGACAATGTACAGTCACATGTATTTTTACCTGATGCTGCTGCAGCTGTCCACACTCTGAGACATGGGGGTTCCTTCTCTGTGCTCGCTGGCACCCTCATCTGCCTGGACCTCACTGTGTCCTCCTGTTCTACTGCTCCTGTAGGGGCTCACAGCAGGGGACATGGCTGTTGCTTCCGTGCTGCCTCCCTGAGCCTCCTTTTCATTATCATCAGGTTTTTGGTTCATAACAATGAACTTATACTTCTTCCAGTTGCGGGCCTTGGGATCTTTGGGATAGTCTGAGGGCTGTGTGAGGCTCAGGGTTGCATTTCTGCTGCTGCTGGACTCAGTGGGCGAGTTTGGCTGACAGTCAGATCTGAGTGGACTTTGAGGACTACAAATAACACCTTTGCTAAAGCCTGCAGACAATCTTAGGCAGCCAGTCAGTGGGTGCTGAATGCTGTCTTCCTCCATGGGAGCAGCAGGGCCTTGAAGGCTCCCGCTAGCTCTTGCTAGTGTGATAGTTGTGGGGAAACTGGGGTGGGATGGCACCAGGTGGGAGATGACAGTGCTGGACTCACTGTGAACCATATTGCTGTTGGGTGGGGCGCTGATCTTATAGGAATCTTCCAGCTTCCCAGCAGGGACATGCAGGTCACTGTAGACATGACAGGAGCTGGAGGTGTTGATACCCCTGAAAACACTGGGGATGTAGCCCCTGTACTCCTGGAGAGGGCATGAGGCTGATGTATGGTTGTTTCTAAAGTCTGGCTCTTTTTCACTGACAGGCCTCAAAGCAGGGATCTCCTCAGCCAGAGGTAATGAGTTGATCTGTACCTCTTCAATCTGCATATTCAGAGACTGATGCCTGAAGAAACATATTCAACTCCAAGTCAAATCCCTTCTTCTTTTTGTTTTTTTAACCAAGTCAATAGAGTGTGTCCTATCACATTGTCTGATATCTTTTACCTGGACTTGATGAACCTGTGGCAGGTGTCAGCCACATGTTCCATCTGCAGATAGACGGCTGTGTTCATGGTGGCCAGGACCAGACTGTCTTTAATCTTCAGACAGGATGTGTACATGAAGTCCAGCAGGATGGAGAAACCCTTGGAGTCCACTTTGGTGTCTAAGCTGATGGTACTAAGGTTTGCGTTCTCAGGGTTCATGAACACAGAATAAAAGAAGCCACTGTAAGAGACCCAGAGAGATGGAAACCTTGTTTGATGTGCTACACAAACATTATTTGGAAGACTAGAAAATTAGGCTACACAACCCAAAATGAAATCAATCCTGTGTGACACAGCCATGCTCCCACTGTTTCAGAAATAAAAAAAGCCTTAAAAGTACCTGCAGGCCACTAGAATGGCCTTGTGAGCATGAAAATGCTGTCCATCCACCTGGACGGTAACATCAGTCAGGATGTTCCTGCTGCGGAGGCGGCTGAAGTTGAGTAGGACATCACCTGCATGGCGTGTGAACTGAATGCAGCCATCTGTAGCAGCGGCCATGATGTCGCAATCTGAGCAGGGGTGACAATAACAGTTTGTTAATGGTCTAAAATCACCAATATAAACAAAACTCAAAAATGAATTATAATGATGATACACTTAAATAATAACATATGCAGCATGGTCTCCTGACAACATCAAAGTTGTTGGAATCAAAACTTTATTTTGCAGCTGAGATGGGCTTTACTTTTGCTATGTCCAGGTACAATACAGAAATCATCTTAAACCCCCAAATATCAAGCAAAATACACCAAAATGAACTCAATTAGCATTGTAAGCAATTAGAATTTGTAAATCCTAAATTAATAAACACTCTAATAGTCTAAGATAATAAATGCCCTTACTATATTTCATCACTTCCGGCTCATACTGTTCTCCAAAACAAGCCACCCGTCCTCCTGACCTCAAATCAAATCAAGCTTTGACCATAACAAGTGTTTTATCAAAAGGTGGCGCCATTGCAAAGGGAAACGCATGAGGGAGGTTCAGTAAATCATCAGAGCAATGCCTTCCTTACTTGTTATTGAGCCTTAATTACGCTCTTGTTATAAAGGCTATAATCAATGTCTTAACCTATGTTATTGTTGAAGACAGTGGTATTTCTAAAGTGGGTCAGCATCCATATAACACAGAACATCATTTATTCTGAAAGTGAACTAGGCGACAACAAATCTTCACCATAATACAATTACAACCTACAGTTTGTGTCAACACTATCCTACGTTGCTGAACTCAGGGTTAAATAACGTGACTACAGTTTTCTCATCCTTCCGTTTCCCTGCCGTTCTTTCACCGTGACGGACCAAAGTGTCCGCTGGCAGCTGCGGCCTGTTGTGTGAGCACATTCCGTCCCGGCTGCTCAGATTAGGTTGCCAATACACACAGAGGTTTCCTGTTGCCCGATATAAGTAGCACTCACCTCTTTAACCCATTATCATCCCCTCCCCTCCCACTAAACTAATCTTAGGGTCCCTTCTAAGCCTCAGATATTCAGTTGGTACACTATGATATCGTAGGATGTGATTTCAAGGAGTCTTTCGCTTCTGCTGTGTAACTTCGGCTGTCACCGAGCACAAGTTTAGACATGCTGTCATGTCTGGGGACTGTCCCGTACCTTAATTGTGTTTTAAAGGTGTTTAAAGATATTTTTGCTCGATTAAAACTAAAAGGTGAAAAGTCGTCGGCCCTGCAATGGAGACAGTTAAGGGAAACGACTGAAGACAATTAACGCGAAGAGAGAAAATGAGTTGGCTGTGACTGGCTGGCCCTGTTGCGCCACTTTCCCTCGACTGCTGTAGCCTCTGACTTGCCAAATGGTGTGTCAAACACAGTTTCTAAACGTTCAGATCAAATATGAAGGCTAATATTGTGCTATAATGAAAAACTGCTACCCTGACTAGCAGTCCGCTGGTTGTTTTCAGCCCAGCAGCAGCTATTAAAGCCATGTGAACACAATGTTAAATCTGCACTTCCGTCTACAAACAGTAAAAGACAGCGCAGCCGTCAAAATCTTCTCCCGGAGCTCAAATCTTAGTTCACTTCTAGTTACAGGAATCACAAGATATTGAGATATGGACAAAACAGCCCGAGCAGCTCAGGCAGCCTCATGAGCATCTGCTACTTCACTAGACTTCTGACCTAATGCTGAGAAAATAGGAAGGGAAAAAAGTCACCTTGTAAAAGTTTCCTCGAAACTCTGTACATCACCACTTCTGAGAATCCAGTTCTAAGAAACACAGCAGCTCAATTCTCGGAATTTCAACACTGGGCCGTACCATTACTTGCAGCCCGGGGGAGCTGCCCCCCGACATCAGCCTCATTTCCACCCGCGCTATCAATATTGTGAAGTACAACATGTGGGTGATTAACAAATAGGAGCGTGGAATGTCTTACTGTGTTAAATATGGAGTACGTTGTAGATTTGAGCATTTGTTTCTCTTTTTTCGGTGTGCGTAAATCCCCCTGTGTAGTGGACGGCTCCAAGTGCAAGGTTGGCGACAGAGTTATAAATACCAAGGGGGAATATGAGAGCTTGTTGCCACTGTACAGTCGCTGCATGGATTATGAGGAGCTGAGAAAAATCTTTTATCGTATCCCCTTTTAGTTTCTTTGTCTTTAACATTTCCCCAACACGTGTTTGCGTCATGAGTGTGATTTCACAGCTTTCTCGCTCTAAAACGAGCAGCATTTCAGCAGCCAGTTGATGTTATAAAGCTGATTTAGGCTAATATAATTGTGTAGTTACAGTTGTGCTTGATATTAATTTTTTTTAAGACGTACACTTAAAAGTAAAATATTTATGGCAATACTTGGCTCTATATTTGCATGAATTCTTTATCTCTGTCAACTCAAATAGAAAGAAATATGTGTGGAGTCCTCAGCTCCCCCAAAGGCTCACATGCTGTTGTTGGTGTTCCCACCACTTCCTGTCTCACCATCACAGCTGTAATCTGGGTAACGCTTAGATGCAGTAAGGCAAACAAAATTCTCAGTACTTACCAATGCATGAATCATCAAACCAGAAACTAACGGCTCTTTAAAACAACAAGAAGTACCTGAATAACTCTAAATCAAAAACCACTGCAGGCAAATAATAGCATAAGTGAAATAACATAATGATAAGATAATTGAGAGCAGACTGGTGAAGTAGGCTTATACAGTGTCAATGAATTAATATTTGACATGCTCCTGGATTTCTGTCCACTGTCTTAAATGTCATAAAACCAGTAATTCATTTTTAGCTCTTTATTATGTACACTCATTGGCCACTTTATTAGGTACACCTGTACAATTTTATATAATTCAGTGCAAGACTTCTGCCATAACATGTTTATGAAGCTCAAAATGCTTCAGTTTTTGGTTAAATTGTCATAAATGTATCAAGTATGTGTTTATTATTGAGGTCATAGTCAAAAGTGGTGTTGTACTGGACTACAATATATTCAGAGGTGTCTCAAAATCTTTGCCCTCCCTAACTACATACATGAGAGGTCAGAATCAGGAACACATATTAGGACAATTTCACCAAAAACTGAATAATTTTGAGCTTCATAAACACAGATGTTAAGGCAGAAGTGTTGCATTGAAGTGCATACAATTGTACCTAATAAAGTGGCCGGTTACTATTTTTGTCTACCTGTAGGTGAAGCGGTATGCTCCTTATTTGTTCCTCAGTAACCACTCAGGGTTTTCTGTGCTGTTACATTAATCTATTCTGTAACCTGTTCATATGTACAGAACAAAAGCTCCTATACACAGTATGTGCTGAGAATGTGATGGGAAGGCTGTTTCTTTAGCTATGAGCCTGTGATCCTACTTTATCTAACAACTGATGAAGGATTACTCATTCCTTTTATGTTTTAAATTAGGTTGTTTGACTAAAACATCTTCTGTAAAGGTAATTAATTTGGTGCTGAATTATGGAACTTCATAAGCAAGTCCATACAACAGTTAAGGGGTTAAATGTAATGTGGAAAAAACAAAGGGGTTTTCTGTGCTGTTTTTAAATACACAGTTACCTTCTGCTGCCGTCACATTTCATCCTCACCAATGATCTGCGGTGAGGCTTTGCTGTGCAAACATTCAGACAGGTTCAATCATTTAGTGGGTGGAAAAAACAGAACCACAGAAATCGACAACTAGAGCTAGTAATTGTGACTTTACTAAGGATTATGAACAGAAATTCAACATTTAGAAATTGATCACAGAATGTGGGGTTGAGCAGATTGTTCTTTTCCATCATTATCAAGGTCAGGGCTTGGCAGTTTACAAGTGGCACATCATAAATAATGTGTCAGGTTTAGCAATATGAAATGTGTGTGAGAATAACAGCTTATTCAAAATCATTGGCAGAAGTTTTCTGAATTTTCCCTATGAAATAAATATGCAGTGCAGCCCAGTGTATCTAAATTACAGCTGTTCAGGTGGCTATGGCAACAAAGCAGTCTATTTGTAGTTAACGTTTTCATTCTAGGTGTTTTTCCCCTGTGGTTATCTTTAGTGGCCCAAGTTTCTGTGGGTTGTTCATCTTGACATCCTTTGAAAGAAGTGATATTTTCTGATCTGAATCAGAAGAGACTGAACCTGTTCAGTCAGTAGCTCTGGCAGATAATATATGTCTGATTTCCTGCTTTGGTTGTTTATTTGCAGGAAAGAGGATGTGTAGATTTGATCAGTCAGCCTTTTTCTGGCTTATGTCGGTGCAGCATTAACTTTGCATTAAAGGTTTGCTACAGCACAAGCGCAGATGTAAAACAAACAACTGTGCATAGTAGATCTCGGTATATTTAAAAGCCTACTCAACAAAATCACACAAACATGGTATTTATGCTTCATTGTTTTTTGTTTTGTTTTGTTTTTGCAAGGAAAATTTTTTTTGTATGCTACAAAAGGTCACCTCAGTCTGCTGAAAATAAAATTTTAAACAATGAGGGTTCATTTTAAAGCAATTAAAAGTTCCCTCCAGTGATTCTATAATTACACCTCCATAATGTTTTGGGTCCTATCAGACACAGATTAAAAACAGAATCGAAGCAGTGGCTGAAATAGCTTGATGATAAGTCCCCAGTGTGGGTCAAGTTCCAAAAATCCTAGATCCTACATTTCCCATATTGTGTGTATTTCACTGGAGCCTCCCTGCTTGAACAAAGCCCATGCACATCCTTCTCCTGCTCTTCAGTTAGTAACACGGGCTTTATGTTATTAATGTGTCTCTAAGCCTAATCCACAATAACCTTATTACAGCACAATGGCTATGTTCTAAAACTTTATAAAGGTCCCTCTAGAGCCACAGAAAATATTACACATCTCTCTTTACTGACTGATGGAAAAGTACTAAACATGACTAGTACATTTATATTTGTGAAATCACCGAAGGCCTTTTAAAGAGATTCTAAAAAAACAAAAGGAGTTTCTGATTGTGTCTGCCTGTTTGCCATATATTGCCTTTTGTATTGCACAAGACCCTTCTGAAGAATGCATGTCAAAAAACCACTCTTGTAAGGTTTTGCCAACTAGTCCTACAACATATTTGCTGCTGTTGCTTCTCACTCTCACTCAGCCTGTTAAAGAGGCTGTACTGTTTTAACAAGCGTCCCCCACGCTCTCTCATGAACTTTGCTGACTTAGGGCCTAGACGCAGACAGATATCAACGTGCCTGTTCCAAAACATGACCCAGGCACATGGCCGCCAGGCAGGAAACAAAGGTCACATCAGTAAATTACTGTTTGACTCTAAAATTAGCCTAGTTTTCAAAGACAAGTAGCCTGAGAGTGAGAGAAGGAAGTCTCTCGTGAACCAGTTTCTAGAGAACCAGAAACACACAGTCTGCCTGGGACCTACTGAGAAGTTAAACTGCAGGTGGTAAGAAGCGTTCGCATAATGACTGTTGAACTTCAGGTGACCCTGATGCGCCAAATGTTCTGTGGTGTGAAACAGTCAGTGATGCATTGTCCTGTATAGATATGGGGAGGCCAGGACTTGCACACGGAATGTTGTATCTTAAGTGCACATAACTTGAAGAGTGGTGGTTGTGTTGTTGTCTGAAACTAGTTTTATCCTCAGATCTTGGGCTCAGGGGGGCTTAAATAAAAAAGTGAAAATAACCTCACATGAAGAACTCATGAAGACACAAGACACTGAAAGAACTGAAACGCTGAGTCAATAAATCAATTCATCAGTCAATAAACACTGACTCAATAATTATTTAATTCATGCTCAAACAACAATGCCAAACATACCCTCGTACTAGCTTTGTAATAAGTGTTAATCATTTAAACCCAAATAATAGTTGATTAATACATTAGCTGGTCAAATGCAATAAAGTATTTGTTTGTTAGTGGCTTAGACATGAAACTAACACTAATGTTAGTCTTAAGGCACAATGTGAAGCAGCTACCATTAAACCTGATGGCATTTTTTGTTAGGTCACCAGTCAGTGTGGCAGTCCGGCAGTATTTTAGCATACATATAATTTTGAGGTAAACCACCTGTGGCAACATTAGAATATTGTGTTTTAAAAAGTCCAGTAAGACATGGTTAACTTTATCTTTTAGTATTTCAGAGCCTGTTTTTCCTGGCTGCTTCTGATGTAGAATAAAGAACAGCATAGCTTGTCCTTTCAGCTTCTAACAGGAACCCTGCTCTTCATTACTTTTGTGTGTATGGTTTCCACAGCCTGGTTTGACACAAGAGAAGAGGATGGCTAATTTTCATATTAGCACAGTGAGTTTCCTTCCCAGCACTTATATAATTCTTACAAACCCTCTGATTTGTGTTCCTGGTCTGTAATGGTATGATTTTACTTTTACTGCTAAAAGGGTCTACCTCATCTTATTTTATTATTTTTTTCAAAGCTGGAGCTTTTGTTGTTGTGCACTGAGAAGGAATTCAGAGCATTGCTGTTCCATCCTGGTTCAACTGAGCACAAAATAAAAGCAATGAATTATAAAAAGCAAAAGTTAATGAATTATCTCACACCTAGCAAGTGATCCTTTATTAACATTAAAAGCATTCATTTAGAGTCAACATTTCCACTGTACAATGAGCTCATGAGATTGAAAAACAGGGCAGTTTGCAATGTTCTGCAGTGCTAAGCAAGATATAAATCATAATGTTTGGATCATTTGAGGTCGTCCTCATGGCCCAACCTCAAATAAAATGCTTCGAGGGATGACATGAATGGGAGCTTTGTTGCACCAAGCCAAAGAATGCATCCTCAGTTGCAAGTGC